TCAGGAGCCAGGGCTTGGGGCGAGGGCTGTACTGGCCCTTCTAAGTGCCACAGTCCCTCTCCCTAGAGACCTTTCCAGGACCCTGTTGGTGCTTGGTGCGTTCCTTCTTTTATTATTATTATGATTTTTTTGGTTTTTGTTCCTGGGCCAAACTAGGTGATGCTCAGGGGTTACTCCCCACTCCGCACTCAGGGATCATTCCTGGCAGTGCTCGGGGACCACATGGGATGCCGGGATCAAACCCAAACCCTCGTGTGCAAGGCAAATGTCCTACCTGCTATAGTACCGCTCCAGCCCCGGAGGCCCGGATGTTCTTTCCCTCATGTTCAAGCTGCCTTACTCATCCGGTGCCTCCCGGGCTTGATCTGTGTGGACACCTGAGCCTTACACGGGCATCCAGTTCGTGTACCTGTGGGTGTCTGGGAGGCAGGTGGTGTGTCCGCGGTTGTGAGTGTGTCTGCTGTGAGGGTTGTGTGTGTGTGTTCTGAGAGGTGTGGGAGGGTTGCCATGGTTGTATCTGATGTGTGTGTTTGTCCTGAGAGTTAATGTGTGATGGGTGCATGTGATCTTCTGTGTGTCACTCTGAAAGAGATGTGGTGTATGTGTGTGTGTGTTGATAGGCCTGAGAGGTGAGTGTGTGTACTTGTGTGCTCTGAGAGCTCTGTGTGTGTACATCTGAGATGCATGTGTGTATGTGTGTGTGCTCTAAGAGATGTGTGTACATGTGTATGTGTGTGTGCACCCTTAGAGGTGTGTGTGTGTGTCTGTTTTGAAAGCTAAGTGTGTATGTGTGCTCTGAGGTGTGTGTGTTTGTGTATGGTGAGACCTGAGAGGTGGGTATGCGTGCGTGTGCATGTGTGTGTATGTGTGTGATGAGACCTGCAAGGTATGTGTGTGTGTGTGTGTGCTCTGAGGGTTGTGTTTGTGTGTGTGTGGTGAGACCTGAGAGATGGGTGTGTGTGCGTGTGTGTCTATGTGTGTGTGGTGAGACCTGAGACGTGTGTGTGAGTGTGTGTGTGGAGTGAGACCTGAGAGGTGTGTGTGTGTGCGCATGTGTGTTTGTGGTGAGACCTGAGAGGTGTGTGTATGTGTGTGTGTGCGCACGCGCGCCCTGTGGGGGTGGGACGGTGAGCAGCCAGGGGCAGTGGGCTGTGCTATTTTTACCGGCCAGTTGCCGCAGGCCAGATTCTGCTCGCTCCCCTCTGCTGTCCCCTCAGTCCAGCCCAGACAGCAGCAGCCCCGCTCCTGGACAAGACGCAGTGAGTATCTGTGGCCTCCCTGGGGATCGGGAGCCCAGAGGCCCTGGGGCTGCGGGGAGGCCGGCCTGGCTGTGGCTGTTGGGGTCCCCTCCTAGTGACCCGGCCCCTGTTCTTTGTCCCATATGAGCTTCTTTCCTCCTCCCGCAGATGTGGTGGAGGGGCTACCCCCAAGCTGGGATTGAAGAGCGAACCCCAAGGGAGCTCTTTGTTTGCCCACAGGCCGGGGAGGGTCGCAGGGAGGGGTCTTGGGGACCAGGGGGCACGCAGCAGGTGGCACTAGACAGTGTAGGACAAGTGTGGAGAGCAGCCCCTGAGCATTGGGGGGCAAAGGACCCCCAGCCCCGCTGAGCCAGTGTATGCTTTACCTCTTTGTTCTTTGCCTTGGCGGGAAGTGCTTGCCCCTTCCCCTGCACCTGGGGGGGGGGGGGTTACCTGACTGTCCCCTACTGGGCCAGGGGCCAGCCCCTCTCCCCACTCCTGGTTCCAGCCCTTGCAGCCGGTGGTGGCGAGTGGGGCGCCCTTGGGGGAGGCAGATGCTGACGGCACTTGGAGCTGGAGCCCAGGCATCTGTGAGCACCTACTGACTGGGGGCTTGGAGCTGGGGTTCTCTGTATGGTGGGGTGACAGTGGGGGGGCGGGCTAGGCCACATCTGTGCCCGGGTCGGGATCAGGCCCTGGCAGTTCTGAGATTAGGGCTTTAGTGTTCCAGGGCTTGTGGTGAGGCTGGGGTGTCCTTGAACTGGAGTCCAAGGTCAGGGCTGGAGCCTAATGAAAATGTGTTCCTGGGCTGGTATGGTGCTTGCCTGGCATGCAGCCAACTCCAGGTTCAATCCCCGGAACCCACTGTGGTATCCCGAGCACCACCATGTGTGCCCACCAACTCCTTAACACACACACACACACACACACACACACACACACACACACACACCCCTAGTCTCATAGTCCAGTTGGCTCCACTGTGGCCCAGGAGTGTGGGGAAGGGAGAGGCCAGTCAAGTCTGCGGTTGCTAATTGTCCCCTTGCTGGGCGGAATGCTGCCTTTTCCCTCCAGACTCTCAGCCCCTGTTGCTATCTCAGCTTCTGCTATCAGCCCGCCCTCCCCCCAGCTTGCCTTCCCGGGACCTGTCAAGGGGTCCCGGCTGGCGGATATCACAGCCCAGACTGAAGACCTCCTGGTCTGGCATTTGTCAGAGGGGCAGGCTGGACAGCAGGCCCCAGAGCTTGGCAGGAGGCCTAGACAAGCCTGGGCAGGTGGGCCCCAAGCTGGTGGGGATGGGTGGACATGGCCGAATGCCCACTGATGGGGAGGCACGTCCCTGGCCAGTTGAGACTCATGGCCAGCATTAGAGGAGCAGCAGGATGCACAGACAGAGCCGTGATGATGGACAGACAGCCGGGGCGGGGGCTCTTGGCCAGCTCCTGTTTCTTTGTGGATTTCCTGGGTGTCTCTGGACAAGAGCGCCCCTAGAATGAACAGCTGCTGATAATATCTAATTTCAGCTAAGTATCTCAGGAATGTGCTGCCTGGCCCCTATCTTCCCCTCTGTGCCCCAGGGGACAGCTGAGACTCTGGGGTCACACTCCTGTCCCCCGTCCCCAGCCCACGCCTCCCTCTCCACTGAAGGCAGAGACAAAGGGGGTAAACCCAAAGACTTTTTGATGGGACAATCAGGGGGTGTTCTGGGAGCAGGAGGGTCACTCACGGGTGCCAGAAACCGAGAAAAGGGGCACAGAGGTGGTAAACTCTTGCTCCTCCTTTACAGATGTTATTTATTGATTGATTTGGGGCCACACCTGACTCTGCCCTCAGGAATCACTCCTGGCAGTGCTTGGGGGACCAGATGGGGTGCTGGGGACCAAACCTGGGTTGACTGCGTGTAAGGCAAGTGCTGTCCCTGCTGTTCTATGGCTCTGGCCCTGCCATTATTTTTTTGTTTGTTTGTTTGTTCTGTATTTTGCTTTTTGGGTCATACCCAGCGATGCTCAGGGCTGACTCCTGACTCTGCACTCAGAAATGACTCCTGGTGGTGCTTGGGGGACCATATGGGATGCTAGGCATTGAACTCGGGTTGGCTGTGTGCAAGGCAAACGCCCTACCCACTGTGCTATCGCTCCAGCCCCTCTGCCGTTATTCTTTAGACTCTGCTTTCCCCATTCCCAAGCAGGCTCTTGAACCATACCAGACCCACCCTGTGCTCCATGGTGCCCTCCCCCAGCCCACCAGTCCAGTGGTCTCACTCCTTCTCTGAGCTTGAGCATAGCCCCTCCGCCTCTCTGAGAACTCTGACTTGGTGGGGATGAGCATCCCCTTGGGCTTTGGAACCTTCTGCTCCCTAGATCCCTCTCCTTGGGCCCCAGGGGCTCCCAGCTATGCTCCAATAACCCGGCACCCCTCTGGTCACCCCTTCACCTACAGACGAAGCTCCTGTAGTAGGTGGAGCTTATTTTGCTCCCAAAGAAAAATTTAGTTTGAATAAAGAGTTCAAGAGTGAAATTGTGGGCTGGACAAATCGATAGGGCGTTTGCCTTGCACGTGGCTGACCTGGGTTCGATTCCCAGCATCCCATATGGTTCCCTGAGCACCGCCAGGAGTAATTCCTGAGTGCAAAGCCAGGAGTAACCCCGTCAGGTGTGACCCAAAAAGAAAAAACAGAGTGAAATAGTAAACGGAAACAACTCATGGAACCCTCAATTTTTCAGAGAGATGAACTGGTCAGGGAAAAGATTCCAGTAGAAATAGAGTTTGCTCTGCTACTCACCCTTAAGTTCCTCCAGGAAGGGCTGACTCAGTGGTCCCCCAAACCATCTGTGAGTGATGCTCCCTGGACAATCAGAGCCCACCAGGTGCAAAGCCTGCACTTGTCCCTGTGTTCCCCCCTCCCAGAGCCGTCGTCTTCCAGGTCTTTCCCTCTGAGACCATCACTGACCAAGCGTCCTGGGTGATGAAGCCCCACATCCCCATTCCAGTCCTCTTCTCTGGGCTTCCATCTGCCCCCTACAGGGGTTGACCAATTCTCCCCAGGATGGTCCAGCAAGAACTTCCTTTAGGCTCTGGGTGTGCGTGAGGCACTATTGCACCAGTAGCTTTTTTGTCTTGCGACACTTTCAGCAAGGACAGACTCAGGACTGAGCCGGCCCCATGGGCTGGATCGCACCCCTCCTACAGAACCAATTTTGGTTCTTCCCTTGTTCTCTGCCTTGCCATCTTCTCTCGCGTGAGTGAATGAACAGAAAAGAAAGACTAAGGGGACAAGCGTGTCTGCCCTCTGGACAGCCTGGGCGGCAACTCTCCCAGGCTGACACCCACATAGCCCCTGGTCTGGCAGGGGTGGGCGGGTGGAGGGGCAGGTGGGGTAAGTTTCTCTCATTGTTGGATTGGAGAGATAGTCCAGCTGGAAGGGAACTTGCCTTGCATGCAGCTACCTGGATTCAATCCTTGGCTCCTCAGCGGGTCCCCTGAACCTGCTAGGAGTGACCCCTGAGGGCAGAGCCAGCCCTGAGAAACCAGGAAGTGGAAGAAAGAAGGAAGGAAAAAGAAGGAAAGAACTAAGGAAGGAAGGAAGAGAGGAGGGAGGGAAGGGAGGAACTAAGGAAGGAAGGAAGGAAAGAAGAGGGAGGAGGAAGGAATGGAGGAAGGAAGGGAAGTAGGGTGGGAGGGAGAGAGGAAACAAGTGAGGTTTTCTTTCTTACCATGGATGGCTCTCTCTCTACCACCAGGCGCCGCTGCTCCACCACCATAATGCCGGAAGTGTGAGTACCCCCCCCTCCCCAACCCTCCACCCTGCCTACTGCACATTCCAGCCTCATAGCTGAGACACCATCTGTTCACCCCTGAAGCTGCTCATAGGAGACCGGGTCATAGATTAGGAAAAGCCTGAGCATCTGGGGTCTCAGCATCTCCAAGCCCCCCCCCCTTAAGTAGAACTCACATGCCCAGGACGCCAGGAGAGCTCTGGCCAGGCTCCTCTGAGGCCTCCAGGCCCTGATCTTACACCCTCTGGACAGTGGAAGCTGGACCTAGTGTCATTTGCTTGACCTTCACCGTCCATTTTCCAATTGTCCAGTTTCTTCCACTGGAAACTCCCAGTAGTCCAAGGGGCTCTGGACTTTCCTGCTGTCCCCCTGGAACCATGAGCCTACCCTTGAGCCTGCTGCTTCATTTCCTTGGGGGCACAGTCACGCCCCCATCCCCAAGATTGCCCCCGAGTCCTGCCACTGCAGAGATTGTATTCTTGTTCATTCTCTCTGTGTTCTCTCTCCCCCACACCCCATCCTTTCTGCCGTGGATGACAAAGTGAGGTGAGTGTTATTGGGGGAGGGAGACAGGGGAGGGGTCTTTGTTCTGGTGATGTCTTCACACTAGTGAAAGTGGGGCGGGCATTGAGGAGAGGAGAGAACCCAGGTTTAGTTTGGGGAGGGGGTTGCCCCATGGTTGAGCAAGTTCCTAGGTGATCAAATATTGTGGGGGTGCAGAGAGCTGGGAATCCAGTACCCAATGCCCCTGGGGACAAATCTGGGTATGTCTGTGCTCCCCCTCTGCACTTTGTATCCTCAATGGGTGCAGGGGCTCCTTATCATGCAGAGTGCTCAAACAAACATATTGTCGTGTTTCCAAAGGTGGTGCACAATCTCACTCTGTCTGTGAGGACTCTGTGACCTAACTAACATGGTCTCAGGGTCCTTCTGCTCACACAAGGAAGGAGGTACCCATAGAGGCTTTGCAGCCAGGCAGTACCTTGTAGGATTCCATCAGTGTTGCAAGGGTTTGAACCCCAAGGTCAAGGTCGCTGAGTCACTGGATTTCAGGAGTCAGAGGGCAAAGATGAGCTTTTAAGGCCTCTAAGGCAAGGGTTGTGGGTGCAATTTAACTCGGCCAATGCAGATTTTCTGTTTTATACACTCTGTGTCACCAACTCCCTTCCCTCTCTCCCCTTCAGAGAAAATCCAAGATCACTGCCTCCCGCAAGCTCCTGCTGAAGGTGAGGGTGGTTGCTGGCTCTGGGGGGGCATCCAGAGGAAGGCGGTGGGGTTCAGGGCACACACCGGGGTGTGTGGAGGGTGGCCAGGAGATCCCAGTCCTCACTGAGGACTGGAGCTGGATACTCAGAGGATGGGAGCCTTGAGCTGCTGTATCTCCGGCTTTCTGCAAGGGGGTAGCAGCTAGTGTCAGGTGGCAGCTGGGTATGAGCAAAGGGGCTGACTCTGTTATGGAAGTTTCTTTCTCTGGATCCAGCGTCCTGGATGGGCAAGAAGGTGTGTGGCCAGCAGTGTTTGGCTCCCTTCCTGCCCTCCTTGGCCGGAGCCCAGGTCTGTCCTTAGAAGCTGACTAGCTCTGATGCTCCCAACGCTGCCTGGTCCGAGGATTTCCCCATATGAGAATTCTGGGCCCCCAGAACTGCCCGCCCTGGAAGTATGGAGCCTGCAGGAGCAGGCTGACCAGGCTCTGCCCTTCCAGAGCCTGATGCTGGCCAAGGCCAAGGAGTGCTGGGAGCAGGAACACGAGGAGCGCGAGGCGGAGAAGGCCCGCTACCTGGCCGAGCGCATTCCCACGCTGCAGACCCGCGGCCTGTCCCTCAGTGCCCTTCAGGTGAGCAGCCTTGGGTAGGGATCAGGGGCTACAGGTAAGGGGTAAGGGGGCTGGAGGCAAGGGAACTCAGGTTGGAGGGTGCTGGCGGGGGAGATCCCAGGGTGCTGGTGGCAGGAAGTTAAACTAGCAGAGTCAAGTGGTTCTTTCTTTACAAGGTGAGACTCCTCTCTCTCTCTCTCTCTCTCTCTCTCTCTCTCTCTCACACACACACACACACTCCACATCACCCCTTATACACGCATCATATAATCTCCACACACACAGACACACATACCAAACACACTCCCATACATACAACACACACACTCACATATACATACCACACACACGCCCACATACACATAACATACACACACTCCATGCGACCCCTCCCATCTACCCACAACACACAACCCTCATAAACCTCTTTAAACACCCCCACATAGACATACCAACCCATACACTAAACGAAACTGGGTGTCGAGAATCACCAGCAGTCAGCCTTAGGTGCTAAACACCATGTGGGAGCCACACTGCCCCGAAGTGAAGAAATCTTTAAGAAAACAAGGATTTTGGGGGGAGCCGGGGGAGGGTTGGAGCCATAATACAGTGGGTAGGGTGCTTGCCTTGCATGCGACCAACCTGGATTCTATCTCCAGCATCCCATATGGTCCTCTGAGTCTTCCAGGAGTCATTCCCAAGTGCAGAGCCAGGAGTACGCCCTGATCACCACCAGGTGTGGCCCAAAAAGCAAAACCAAACCAACAGAACACTGAGAACATTGGGGGAAAGAAGCGGTATCTGGAGAAGGATTTACAGGGAGCTGGTCAGAGGCACTGGGTTGGAGGGTGACTTTACCCTCACCCCCTCCTGTCTGGCTGCTCCCCAGGACCTGTGCCGGGACCTGCATGCCCAGGTGGAGGTGGTGGACGAGGAGAGATACGACATTGAGGCCAAATGTCTCCACAACACCCGGGAGGTGAGCCTGGACCAGGGTGCATGTCTCATCTGGGGCTGGGTCCTGGGGTGGCAGTTATGGCCCTAGGATCCATCCCTCTGCAGCACCTGGGAGATGGGTACTTAGCAGGAAACGGGCCCATCACGACGGGCAGAGAGAAGCTGCCTGCACTCTGCCTCTGGGGAGTCGCCCTTCGTGTACCCACACAACCACCCACCCCTAAAGACTGCTGCCTCCATGAGGGGTTCAGGTACCCCAGAAGCCTTGCTCGTCTGCACACCATGGGGAGTGCGGGTGCTTTTAGCTGAGCTTCATTCAGTCCCGCAGTGGTGCACTCTGGCCCTCACTCCAGTGTCCGCACTCCCTCCTAGGTGTGCGGGGTCCTTCGCTCTGTCGGATGAGAGGGGTCTGGGGGTGGAGGGGCCGCACCTGGCGCCTGTTCAAGCTGCAAGTGGGGAGAGAGAGTCCAGCAGACACTTGTGCTTCTCATTTCTCCCCCCACCCCCAGGAATGGGCCTTCCCAGAATCATGGGGGTTACTCAGCCCGATGGGAGGCAAAGTCCTGAAGGAACTGCTCTGAGGCTCAGGGAGGGACTGTGAGGAGCAGGGGTGAGGCCACAGGGCTCAGACCCCACACCATTGGGGTCTAACTTCGCCTGTGCTGAGCCTGGTGGGGCTGCTTGATTGGGATGGCTGAGGGCTCGATCTATCCATCATTCCCCCTCCCCTCTCCCTCTCTCCTTCCCTCCCTCCCTACTTTTCTTCCTCCCTCCCTCCCTCCCTCCCTCCCTCCCTCCCTCCCTCCCTCCCTCCCTCCCTCCCTTCCTTCCTTCCTCAAATGTGTTGGCTCTTTGCAATCTGGAGGATGCACCTGCATATTCCAGGAAGACTATTTGGAGGCTGAAGAATTGGGCATGTAGGTCTGGAACTCTAGAAGTCTGAGATTCTCAGGAAGGGTTACTCTGTGGCTGGCCCCACTCCAGTAAGCCTTGGCATCTGCACCCCTGCAGATTAAGGACCTGAAGCTGAAGGTGCTGGACCTCCGTGGCAAGTTCAAGCGCCCACCCCTGCGTCGGGTGCGGGTCTCGGCTGATGCCATGCTTCGGGCGTTGCTGGGCTCCAAGCATAAGGTGTCCATGGATCTAAGGGCTAATCTCAAGTCTGTGAAGAAGGAGGACACAGAGAAGGTGAGGGCCCTCTTCTTGGACCCTGTCACCCTGGTCCCACCAGCCTGCACTCAAAATCCCCACATATGGTCAGAGGCAGGTCCCGGAAGCTCCCAGCAGAGGTCAGAGAGCCTGTTAGAACATTCTAGAACAGTGACCAGAGCGATAGAACAGTTGGTAGCACGCTTACTTTGCATGCAGCTGACCCAAGTTCAATCCCTGTTATCCCATATGGTCCCCTGAGTACCGCCAGAAGGTATTCCTGAGTGCAGAGTAACCCCTGAGCATCACAGAGTGTGGCCAGGGGGTGGGGGTGGGGGGAAGAACAATCTAGAACCTTCCAGTTCTATCAGTGGGTTAAGTCTGTTTTGGGAGAATGAAGAGAATGTGCTGGCTGTTCCCAGTCTGAGGACGGAATAGGGACGCCAAGAAAGTCAGACCAAGGGATGAAGTAGCATCAGGCACTCAGTGTGACGAGCATGTGACTTTGGGGCCAGTGGGTCATGGGAGCATGAGGAGACAGGCTCTCAGGAACTGGAGCCCTGAGTTTGGTCACTCGTAGGAATTTGGGTGAAGGGCCCTGCGGCCTGGGCCCTGGAGGCGCTAAGGGCAGAGGTGGCAGGAGGCGTGTGGGCAGGGTAGGAGCCGCTGCTCTGAGCAGTAGCGTCTGACCAGGGCTGTCGCAGGGGTGAGGCTGAGCTGCCGTGCAGAGTGGGGACCCACCGGCCTCCTTTCTCAGAACCTTGGCCAAGTCCAGACCCCCAACTCCCTCAGTGGGTGCGGGTGGGGCTGGGGAGGTGTGTGTCTCGATTCATCTTTGGGGGTTTGACTGACTTTCTCTCAGCCCTTTCTCGTGCTCGGGTGTCCCTGAGGGTCTCCGGGTCTAAGCACCACTGACGCGCGTGTGTCCCGCCTGCAGGAGCGGCCTGTGGAGGTGGGTGACTGGAGGAAGAACGTGGAGGCCATGTCTGGGATGGAAGGCCGGAAGAAGATGTTTGACGCAGCCAAGACTCCCGCCACCCAGTAGAGGTATCCGAGAGGGGCCCCATGTCTCTGCATGTATCTGCACGTCTCTCTCTGTCTCTGCATACCTGCACATCTCTCTCATCTCTGTGTGTCTCTGCACATCTCTCTCTGTCTCTATGTGTCTCTGTCTCTGCATCTGTTTGTTTCTTTCTCGTCTCTGCATCTCTGTGTGTCTCTCTCATCTCTGTGTCTCTGCATGTCTCTCATCTCTGTGTCTCTGCAATCTCTCTGTCTCTGTGTGTCTCTCGTCTCTGTGTCTCTATGCATCTCTCTTGTCTCTGCATCTCTGTCTCTCTGTCTCTCTCTCTCTCTCTCCCCCCCACCTCTCTCATGTCCTCAGAGCCCGCAGCCTCATAGGGTGTCCAGCAGGTGGGGAGCTGGGCCAGGTTGGAGCTGCTCTGGGCCTGTCTGTTCCCCTCAGATGTACAATTGGGGGCTGCCAAGGTCAGTGGTCCCAGGAGTGGTCCCAGGGCTCCCAGCATGGACTCTTTCCAAAGTGAAACTGTAGGGGTGGGGGACCCGTGGATGCAAGCGTTTGAGAACCACCGCCTCGGTCAGTGGGGGCCTTTTTCCTGCCAGGGGCCATTTGAATATTTACATTGTCCCTCAGTACAGGCTGGATGGTACAGGGGACTCGTTTGGAGGCTGAATTTGGGGTGTAGATCTGGAACTCTAAAAGTCTGAGATCCTTGGAAAGGGTTGCCCCATGGCTGGGCCCCTTCCAGGGAGCTTGGTGTCTGCACCCCTGCAGCCTGAGGGCCAGGCTGAAGGCACTGGACGTCCATGGCAGTACAGGCCACGGCAGCTGACAGGAGCATCCTGTCCCATCACGTCCTCAGGGTTTGGAGGCCAAGCAGGCCCCACCCCTGGCTAGCTGATCTCTGCGGCCCACCAAGGCTGACTCTCTGGAGGCCAAGTTCTTTCAAACTCTTCCCGGGATGCCTTGCCAAGTGCCCAGCGCTCACGGTCCTCCTGGCAGAATTGGTGGCAGGGGGTTCCACTGAGGACAAGTGCCCACACTTCTGGTGGGCAGTGCTGAGGAAGTGGCACCACTGGGCCTCGTCGGACCCTTCAAGTTAGGAGGGGTGGGTGTGGGCCAGGCTCGGGCAACAGAGGCCCAGAAGCGGGGGTGAGCCCAGGGGCCAGGAGCTGCTGAGCCCAGCTAGAGTGTGCGGGCCGGGGAGCCCGAGCCTTCCTGGGCTGCAGACACTCGGACACTCGACAGGGACACCGAACGCTGACCCCAGGGCGCAGTGTCTGAGGGCTCCTGCCTTTGTCGCCACAGGCCGTCACCGCACTTCCTGCACCTCCAGCCTGAGCACCCGCCTTTGCAGAGTGTGGAAGATCTCAGCCCGCCCCAGCATGGCCCTCCCACCCACGCCCCCCGCCTCCAGCTGCTGTGACGCGAAGTGGCCCCCATGTGCTGTGGCCTCTCCATTAAATGCCCAGTGTCCCCTATTTGTGCTACCCTGGACCTGAGTCCTGGGAAGAATGGGAAGAGGGGTCTGTGAAGTGGGGTGGGGGCGGTCTGTGAAGTGGGGGTCTGTGAAGACAGGGTTGGTAAAATGGGGATCTGTGAAATGGGGGTCTGTGAAGATGATCAGTGAAGTGGGGGTCTGTGTAGTGGGGGTCTGTGAAGATGGGGCCTGTGACAACACGGTCTGTGAAGTGGGGGTACGTGATGTGAGGGGGTGTGAAGTGGGGGCCTGTGAAGTGGGGGTCTGTGAAGGCAGGGTCTGTGAAGAAAGTGGGAGGGGCTGTGGTCAGGGGTTCAGGGTCAGAACCCAGGCCCGGAGCAGTTGTCTGCCTGTGAACATTCCCCTGGAGCCGGCCCTGGTGCCTTCACACAGTCTCCTCAGCCCCAGGGGGCTCCGCTCACCAGCCCAATTCTGAGATATACAGCACCCCCAGAGACGGCAGCCCTCCCCCCAGCTCATCAAAGGGGGTCTCTTCATTCTGAGCCTGTGTCCTGCCTGATCTCACTCTCCCCTTCCTGTCCCAGGCCCTGATGGGTATTCTGGACCGTCAGTAGATCAGAGGGTTGGATCCCAGCCCTGCCCCATGTGGGTTGGTAGGGGACTCCTTGCAGTTTTGAGCCTGGCCACCAGGTGGCTCCTCTCCTTTTCCCTGGGGATCCTCCAGTCTCTCCCCTTCACACTCCTGAATTGGTCCCATGGCCTAGATGGATCCTTCCCTTGAGCTGAAGCCCCAGTCACCTGTCTTTGGGGTCAGGTCCTTGGACTCAGCTCACAGAAGGGGACCAGCCTGCTGGGGTTCAATGACGGGGGTTGGGGGGGGTCACACACACCGAAGCGAAGGGTTTCTCTGTGCCCCGGTGCTGTGTCACCAGCTTTGCTTCAAAGGAAGTGGCTACTTCAAGAGTTGGAGCCAGGCCTTTGGGTCTTGGACAGTCGCTGCACAGTCGGCCCATCCCAGGAGGCCCTTTCCCAAGTGCCCTGCGAGTCCCCGGCCTGCCCTGTGCTCCCGAGGGATTATCTTCCATATGTGCCCCAAGCTGGGTGCAAAGTACAATGCCAGCAACTCTCTGGAGGCATGGTTTGAACCAGGCTCCCCCACCTCCAGCCCCAGACCTGCCCATTGCTTTGATGTTTAATTGCTTCAATAGCTCAGAGGGGGAGGGGCAAGGACGGAGAGATAATGTGAAGGCACTTGCTTTGCATGCAGCCAACTTGGGTTAAATTGTTAAATTCTTGGCACTGTATGTGGTCCCTTGAGCACTGTCAGGAGTAATCCATGAGCACCCTCAGGTGTGGGCCCCAAATCCAAACCCAAGCCCAAATCCAAACAGCTCAGTCAGCAGAAAGGCAGAGGCGAGTAAAGAGCATAATTATGGCACACGCAGCCTCCGGCTTCACAGACCCCCAACTCCTCCCTACTCACCCCCACCATAACTACCGCACACGCAGCTTCCTGCTTCCACAGTTTCCTACCTCCTCCCCCCCACACGCACATGCACACACATTCTCTGATATGCATGAACACACTCTTACCTATGCACACATACATTCACTGACATGCATGCACATACTCACACATGCACACACTTGCTGACATGCACGTACATGCTCTCACACATGCACACACACGTTCACTGACATGCATGCACACACTCACACGTGCATGCATTCACTGACATGCATGTGCACACTCTCACACATGCACACAGACATGTGTACACACAGAGCTGGAGAGCTGGAGCTCCCCTCCCGCAGCCCTAGCCCCGCTCCCCAGAACCCCTCTCTGCAGGTTGGGTCCAAAGCTGGGCTTCCGGCTCTGCTTCTGCTCAGCCCACTGGTGGACGCTGGCCCATGCTCTGGAGTCTTGGCTCTGCCTGTCGACTATTAGCCAGGACCCTGCCAGCTCAGGGCCCCCACCCTGCCCTACAAAAGTGGGGGAGCAGCCCTAGGCCTAACTCAGGACAAATATGGGGTACAAAGAGCCCTGGGGGAGGGCGTGGGGCAGTGCCAACACCCAGTACAACACCAGGTGCCCTGAGAAGCAGTGGAACGTCTACGTGGATGACAGGAAGGGGCCCCGGGCTGCCCTGGGCAGGCAGCCTTGGGGGGAGAGGCTGTTGCCAGCAGCCCATCCCAGGATGTGTGGGTGGGAAGGAACCCCCATGCCACTCCATCCCCTCTCACGACGGAGAGGTGGGGTTGAACACTCCTGGCACTGTTCACTCATGAACTCACTCAGACAACACAGCAGCCCTGCGAGAAAGGGCTGGCTCCTGCTCCCATTTTACAGATGGGAAAATGCGGCATGAACAGTTCCTGGCCTGCTGTGCTCAGATGGAGAGAGAATGCAGGGGCCTGCTTCTTGGGGAATGATAAATGTGAGTGAGAGGCACGGTGGAACAGCACTGTGACTTCTCAGAGGGCCCGAGCCTAGATGTTGTCATCTTTGTACAGCACAAAGGCACTGGCTTCGCACTCAGCAGACCCGGGTTCCACCCCCATCAATGCACCCTGAGCCCTGCCAGGAGTGAGCACCGAGTCAGGAGTTGTCCCTGCGCACAGACCCAGGAGTGATCCTCAAGCACTGAGCCAGGAGTAAACCCTGAGCACCACCGGGTGTGGTCCCAGATGAAATATATAAAAAGATGCGATTGTTTCTTTATTTCCAGAGAGGAGCTGGCGGCAGGGGGCTGCCCACAGGGGCTCCAGATGTGTCAAGTCAGCCCAGTCTGGCACTTTCTAGAAGGGACACAGCTGAGGACCCAGAGCCCTGCCTATGTCCCGGGGGAGGGCATTCTGATTGGATGCCAGTGATCCCCAGGGACCCCAGGGGAGACTTCGTCCCTGCGGTGGGAGCTGGACTGGGGAGGGCGGACCGGCAGTGAGAGGCCCGTGAGTCTCCCTCCTCGGCCGGTGTCCCCTGCCACCACCCCACCTGTCCCCTGCGGCGGCGTCCCCCTTCCCAGAGGCCCCGGGGCAGAACGCTGAGCCCACCTCGCAGAGGTGAGCCTCCCAGGCCAGCCCAGCTCGGAGCTGTGGTGCTGCAGGTTTGCTGGGAAGGGATCCCAGTTAAACATTAGCCCCAATGGCCCCCCACGAAGTGAGTCAGACTCCCCGCAGAGCTCTGGGCTGGGTGTCCGGGGGGCAGATCCGTTCCAGGTGGGTGACCAAGCTAGCCAGGGCCAGGACGGGCAAGCGGCCGGCAGCAGCTCTCCTGTGCCCAGTGGGGTTTCTCTCTGCCCTCATCCCACCCTCTGGCTCCCAGTGTACCTCCCCATGGGTGTGAGAGGCACGGGAAGGGGGTCCTTACACCTGAGGCTCATGCCCAGCTAGCGGAGAGATGGGTAGCCAGAGGCCGAGCGGTGGGGGCCTCTCTCACCCTGGCACTGAGACCCAGAGAGAAAGTGACGTGCTCAAGGTCACAGAGCCGGGCGGGGGCGGAGGACAAGGTCCTAGACTCCCATGCCCAGCCCGATTAGGCTGAGCGTGGGCAGTGCCTGGGCGGCTCCTTGGGGCAGAGACGCTGGCACTTGGGAGGCAGCTTATCTCTGGCCTTGACTCCTGCACCGGCAGCTGCTCCTGGCACCAGGTGCCATGGGCCTCCGAGCCTGGCCTTTTGCTCTGGGAGAGGTTCTGCCTCACCTGGGTGCGGGCAGGGTGCCCATCAAGACTCCACCCATGGGCACCCACACAGCATCCGGCTGGTGTGTCTGCAGAGTGACAGACCCTGCTGTGCCCTGCATGGCCACTCCCAGATGTGGGTCTCCAGAGTGACTCTTGTTTTTACCTCGCCCCTCCCCTTCCCTTCCTTTCTTTTCTCTCCCCTCCCTCTTCTCCCTCCTCTCCTTTCCTTCACCTCTTCTCCCCCTCCGCCTGATGTGGGCACAGACACTTGGTCACACACTTGTAGGGGTACCGGGGTCACAGTGCTGCTCTATCACTTGGAACTATGGAGGGGATCGAACTTGGGGCCTCACACCCTCAAGGCAGTCTCTCTATCTCCAAACTGCACCCTCGATATCCCACTCGTTCTTTATATGGGGGTGGGCCACACCCATCGGTGCTGAGGACTAACTCCTGGCTCTGCACCGAGGCTCAGGGATCACTCCTGGCAGTGCTAGGGAATCAGATGGGAAGGTGGGGACTGAACCCAGGTCGGCTGTGAGCAAGGCAGATGCCATCCCTGCCTTGCAAGATCTCTCCACCTGGCTCTTGTTCTCTAAGAGCAGGTTTCAGCTATTCCGTTGCTGCAGGAGGGAACCCTCACTGCCAGGCACAGCAGGAAGCGAGTGGACCACGGAGCTAGCGTCAGGAGGGCAGCCAGGCCTTCGGCAGACTATGTCAGTAGGAACCTCTATTTAGGGGGCGAGTAGGCAGGGACTGTGGTTTTGTTCTGTTCTCACTTCTCAAAATGAAATAGTGGCCACTCCATTTGGGGGATCTTATTTACAAATGATGACTAGCTTGGAAAAGCCCCGAGTCAGGGTACCCCTGCACTGGGTCCCTCAGGGTGGGTTCACCACACTTCTTGTTTCTTTCCTGTCTCCCCCAGTGGGCTAGAACTCTGAGAGCTATGAGGAGGCAGGAACAGAGACATCAGGGTGTAGCTGTCAACCCCCCTCCACCCCTTCGTCACCCACCCCCGGCTTTGGCTGGGGACCCTGGATTCCTGACATGGGCCTCTGGAGCAGGAGAAGATGTCCTCTGACACTGGGGCTTCCACAGCCCGGCTTCAGTCCTGGGACGTCACAAAGGAAAATCCCCTGACCCTGAGCAGGGAATTTCCGGGGAGACCGGCCCTGGCTATGTGCACTTTCCTCAAGGGATGCAACCAAGAGCTGCTAAGGTCTACAGTGGTTTAAGATCCCCCAAATGGAGTGGCCACCACTTCACTTTGAGAAGTGAGAACAGAGCA